ACACAATGTATTAATTTTAGTTAGTTGGTTATGTATTTTTTAAATAAAAAAAATTTTTTGAATTTACTTACTTGTAGCTGGAGTTAGAGGTGGTCGGATACTTATGACCGCTACTGTATCTTTAATTTAAAGTATTTATTTATTATGTGTAACTAAAATTTACAATTATGCACAATCATGCAAGTCAAATATGCGAGTTTATGCAAGTCATTTTCAGAACTCTAGAAATATATTTTATTTTATCAGGATATATAATAGCAAATTTCTTTATAATGAACTTTTTTAATCTTTTAAATATAGTATTAACAATTATATTTTTGTATTAATCTTAAATGAATACAGTCAATTTTAATATAGTGAACTCTTAATATAATGAATTTTTTGAACAAGTATAATAAAAATACTCTTGTTATAATGAATTAGTCAATCAAATTTCTTAAAATCTTCATTATAGCCTTATAACAAAGTTGAGATCTAAGATATAGAGTTTATTATAATAAGAATTAACTGTATATATTTACATTTACTTTATTTATAAACAATAATTCAAATTGTTATTCTTTAACTTCAGATATTTTGAATATATAATTTTTAGTTTTTCTAATATATATTTTGGTTTATTAATTCTAAAAAAGTTTTATACTATATTAATTGTATTAGGTAAAATTTAAATAAAATATAATAGAATTAAATTAATTGTTAATTTATATGAAAACATGTAAATTTTATTACTTCAATCAGTTTTTTATATTTAAAATTTTCTTTAATTATTAACAATTTTATATTTTTCTATTATCTCTGTTAGAATTTATATTATAGTTTTTATGAAAACAATTTCAAAATCTATTAGCTAGTAAAGATATATTCAAAAGTCCTTTTATATAAAGATTGGCAATTGTTTCATGATCTTTTTTAGGATTAGGCACATTTATATAAAATTCAATCTATAATATATTATTTTTATATTAGTTACTAATTTATTATTATTTTAAAATTACAAATTATTGTACATAAAAATATTTTATTATAAGGACTAATATTTGTATATTCTACAATGTAAAACATTGCATGTTATACTCTTAATTTATGTTCTTGAAACTCATAATTTGAAAAGTATATTTTACTGATAGAATATATAATTCTATTATATTACTTTTTATTATACCCAATTTTGAAATACTTGATGCCATTCTTCAGCTGATCCATTTGCAATTTTTTTAAATAAAGGTTAACCAAATGTTTTATGATTGTTTTATCATGCCAGCTTGTAATAGTATATTGACTAGGCATAGATACTTATAATGCAAGAACTGCTTGCTCCAATTTTTGTAAAGTTAAAGGATGATTTATGTCAAATAAAGTGTTATCTGACAATGATTTTAAAATTCCAGTTTGATGACAAACAGAGTTGGGCGAAATAACTTTATATTCTGCAATAATTTGACTATTCTAAAAGATTTTAATTGAAAATGAATTTTGATTCACATATTAAAAAAAAACTGTTTTCTTTTATATTTGTAAAATAAAGATGCTGAGTAATTATGACCTATTTTACTTTTATTTGATCGAATATTATTAAGGCAACCAATAAAATAATTATATTTTTATTTTAACAATAAAAGGACTAAATATAATTCCTTCTAATAGCTTTGAGCTGTTTCTGGCTGTTCTAAACCCTAATAAGAAAGCCCAGCATATTTTGTTTGAGCCAAAAATAGATTGATAAACAGAAGTAATGGCTTTAGAAACACTTTCAGCAACATCACTGCTTTTTCCTTTTCCTTCACAGATATAAGCTGGTTGTAAAGGACTATGAATATGACGAACTACATAAATAATAGTAGGACTTTTATTGAGTTGTAACATAATTTCAAGGCCTAACCGTAAAGGAATAGGATAAAGATCATTTTTTTCGCTAGAAAAAATCCACCAGTCGCGTAAATATGGACCATAATGAAGTTCTGGCACCATAGCACCAGTTGCAATAAGTCTTCCTGGAGTTATATGGGTATTTGTTTTTGCCATTTCTTGGGAAACAGAGATTTCAAAATGGTATTTTTTTTTTTATTAATTAACATAGCACCGCATTTTACTATGTAAATTCTTTAATTTGTTTGAATAGCTAATTAGAACAAAAGTCATTAAAGTTAAAAATTTGGAATTACGGTGATTAAAAAAAAAATAAAAACTGAAATAGTTGGACTAGATATAGGTTTGATTTAGTTAGTCCATCTGCCACCCTAACTACGCGTGTATCTCGAATGTTGAATCCATCTGATCCATTAATTGCTTCAAAAGAGTTTCCAACACTTGATAAAGATATTCTCCGACTTGCCTGACTTGTGACTTGAAAGAACTTGTTCCTTGGAATTATTTAATTAGTTCGATAGGAGTTAAAAATAAAGTACTGATCATTTTTACAAAGCAGTAGCATATAAATAAATTTGAACATCTGACATGACTTAATATTTATTATATTAGGCATTAGCCAATGAAATTGTCATTTTTTCGAAATCACTTTAAACAGTTGTAGCGCAATTTATAAAGATAAATTATAATTTCAAGATAATTTTTGAATAGATACCTCGTTAATCGTACACGTTAAGTAGGATAATCTCTACAGAAAGTATGCGCGATTTCATAATGAAAATAATTTTTTGTCGTCCAAAGGTTATAAAACCTATAAATTTACAAATTCACACCCTTTCTACGTGTGCCATAGAAAAATTCTTGTCAAAACACGAAACTTTATTTCATGACTCACCAGAAAATTTTCATTCTTTAAAGCCTGAGATAAGATACTATTCTATAAAAATTTGCATAAATATTATATTAAGGAAAACTATTCATATTGGATCGATATAGTTACACTCCAATTCAATGATCTACAATATCATAATTTTTCGGTGATAATCAACTATTTTGGTATCTTCTCGCCGAATTTGTTTGTTTGGTTTAATCTCGATTAATTTTCTTTAATTTAATTTATGAGAGATTTCTTTGTAATAAACAAATTTGAAGTTTTCAGAATGGTAGATATAATGGATCGAAAATCTCCGCATAAAATAGCTATATCCGGAAGCATTTTGTATTGTTTGTGTTTGTATTCGATCAAAAAATATTTTAACAGGTCGCTTATCATGTACATCTGCGCCAATTATTATTGTCCCATTTGTTGGATTTTATTATCATCTTTATTTATTTTCCTTCTATTCAAATTTAATTAACGATACGTTTTCTTTATTATTTCCAATGAACCTTTGTTGCCAATGCTTTTCAACGTGATTTCAAAGTCAAAGAAAAATTTATTGGTTCAAGATGACTTTGGCTATCATTAAATTTTAACCAATTTTTTGACCAATACACAGCGTTATTCCAGGTTTTGATTTTAAGTAGCAGAGAAAAAAAAGAACTAAGCTAAATTAATTGGCCACAATGAATTTTTTTTTTTGAAACACCAATTAGATTTTATTTCCGTAATTTATTTGGTTTTCTTTTTCCTCTTTAATTTTTTTTTTTTTTTAAAAAAAAAAGTTTTTAATTATTTTTATCGGAGAAATTTATTATGGTTAATTGATATTAAACATTTGTAATCTTCTGGATTATCATTATATTCAAGAAAATATTAACAATTCATGAATTATGATTCATTCAAATATTAGCTGTTCGAGAATGATTGATTTGAGTTTAATAAACTGTTGACAAGCACGTTTACTTTAAGCAATCACATTCATATTGCAATTTTTTTTTTTTTAAATTTTTAATTAAATTATTTAATTTTTTTTTTCATTAAAAAACTTCTATTGTTTCAATAAATGAAAATCATTAATTATGGTAAATTTCAAATTTTCCCTTTTTGTTAAAAAAGGGGGGAGGGGAATTTGAACCCATCTAACCGACCGATTTCGCACATGTAAAATACGCAAATTTCATTTGTCGAAATTTTAACGTGATTAATTATAAAATTTGTTTTAGGACATAAACCAAAGGAAGCAGATCCATGGGATTCACATGAGGTCTTCCGGGTTCAATAAAAAGAATTAAAAATTACGATTACACAAAAAGTTATTTAATCGAATCATATCTTGCACGTGACTTACTATGCAATGACCAAAAGACGTCTTTTTAATTATGCCTAATTAATTTTTGCTAATAAAGAATTCTTTATTATACTTTCCTTTTTATTTTCTTTGGAAAGAAAAAAAAGAAGAATAAATAAATAAATAAATCCCGTTGAAAAAAAAAAAGAATAATAATAACATTTAGTTGAAAGGTTTATCTAAAAAAAAAAAAAAATTTAGTTGAAAGGTTTATCTAAAAAAAAAAAAAATTTTTAGTTGAAAGGTTTATCTATAAAAAAAAAAAAAAAAATTTGCGACCTTTATTTGTATATAAATTTTGCAAATCACTTTGCAATCACTTTCGATTAAAACGTGTGGGATTTATCGACCATTTATTGGTCATAACATTTCTTTGAAATTTATTTTTAAAGGCAGCAAAATTCTTTGAAAAGGTCAGAATTCATCAACAATTTGTTTCCTTCAACTTTTCATAAAACATTTACGTAAAAGCATCTTAAATCTCGAAAATGTTCGAATACGGATATTTAATAGGTATTTATTTATAACGATCCTTTATGATGATTATATTTCGTAATCAATCTTTCTTTTCTTTCTTCTGCTCTTTCTTCTTCTCTTTTGATTTTGAAAAATTTTTAAAATTTCTTTTTTTTTTTATAGGCAACGATAATAATTCTAAACTCTTTACACCACACAAGCTGGATAAGATTAGTCTCAAAGCTACAAGATTAAAATTTGTAGTCGTTGGAACAAAAGATCTAATATTTAACTGGATGGAATGTAATGGAAGGGTTGCCTGTGAATTCGAACAAAGATTTCATTACACGACACCATTATCAGACAAGAGAATGCTTTCATTTGAATTATATGATATTGATGAAAACCGCGAACGCCTTAATGGTATCAGAAAACTCATCGGAAAGAAAAAGTCCACCAAAATGAGGTTGGAAATAAATATTACAAGTGATAATGAACCTTTACCGACACCAAATCCAAATTTAGAAGAAGTGGACTCGAATTTAATCATGAGTTCTAAAGGAATGAGCGGAGTAACATTACATCAAGTTCTAGATGCGTGGAAATTAACCTCTCATTCAAATACAAAATCGACTCGCGATTATGAATAATTTTTTTTCCAAAAGAAAACAAAAAAAAAAACGAAGAATTTTTAATTTTTACTTTTATTCTTACGTAATTATTCGATGATTTTAAAGTGCATTATTTACATACAAAAATTTCCCCACTCTTTTAATTTTACTTTCATAATATCGTGATATTATTCATTTAAATATATTTGTCGTCATTTACTTATGATTCAAAACCAAAATTTTTAATAATTTCGATAGGAAGGAAACAAATTTTCAAAAGCGATCGATCTTTAATATTTATTATTTATATATTATATCGTAACATTTCGTTTTTATTTTAATTATGCCATTAGTAAGAATCAAAGAATTAAGAAAAAAACGCCCACTATATGAAACTAAATTATGAAAAGAAAAAAAGAAAGTTCATTTAATTTTAAAATTTATTTATGTATATATTTTTTTTTAATAATAAAGATGTTCCAATGAATATTTTCCTCTATGAATACAAAAAAGAAAGTCACTGTTTTTAAATTTCTTGATACAATGTTCCAAAGTTAATTATTAAAAGACACGAATGATTGGAGTTTTTGATCCTTCTTTCCATAATCACAAGAATTGCGTAATACGGAAAAAAAAATAGTGTCCAGAGCTTATTATTTTGATCTCGCATTTACTGGTTTCACCAAAGATCTCTCTCGAAAACGATTTAGTAAACATAACCTGTCTCACCTGATTTAAATTTATGATTCATTTAACGTCAGATTATTTTTGACTTTTTATCGAACCGATCCAATGAAAACACTGATTTTATTATTGAGAGAGAGTTTAATTTTTCGGAATTTACAAAAAAAGCAATTAAAAATACAAAATGTTCGGACCGTGTGATTTTGGTCAGATCAGTCATTTATAATATATTATGACATGAATTATGTCTGATAAAGTAAAGTTTAGGCATGTAAACCATTTTGGTTTGATTCTGTGTTTGACCTTGTCCGAGAATAATTTTGGTCAGATTCCGTTTTTTGACGCTTGTGATTGGTCATAATGATATATAGTAAGGTGAAATAACAAAGAATGCGTGTTCAATTTAAAATTTCAATTTTTCCTTTTGAAGACGCGTTGTACCATTCTTGCTTCCTTTAACCATATGGGTTTTTTTCTTTGATTATCAGTACTAAATCGAGAGATTAACTTCCTTATAAGTAATAATGGTAGGTATGAATTTTTTTTCTAAGGATATGTGGTCTTGATCGTTATCGTGCAGCCAGCCTCATTTGTTCAATTGAAATCATGAGATTACTTTTTTTTTTTTTTTTTTTTTTTTAAAAAGAAAAAAAAAAGTTTCTACAAGTAAAACGCTAAACACACTTTAGGAAAACGACAAAAATAATAACGTTTCTGTGACCTTTACGAGATTAGGAGTTACCAATACTTTTAGTTTCTAAAGTAAAAAGAAAGGAAGGAATGCGGTATATATAAACGAGGGGGGTTTTTTCTTTTATTTATTGAATGATAATCATCGCTAAAGTCATTAAAATAAAATAAAAATGATTTTGGTATTGCGTATGATGAATTTCCGCACACGTAATAAAAGTTTGTGCGCAGAATCCGCACATAACATGTATTGCATATCCATTACAATTGTTGCACTTATTCTCATCCATCGTAGTGTTTGGACACGTTTCCGCACACAATATTCAAACGTAAACTGTTGCAACGGGAAACGGTTATATCAAAAAACCCCCCCCCCCCCGTTGGAAGTTATTCCAATAAATTTATCAATAAATCTATGGGACCTTTGTAATGAGAAAGGAAATCGATATGTAAAACTATTTTTATCAGGGCTGAAAGGTAACATAACATAATTTCAACTTTTTTTGCAAAGGTTTCATACCCGCAAAACAGAATGATTTCATTAGGAATTCCAACCATATGATCCATATAGTCAAGGTCATTCATTGGTTTAAGTTCAAGTATAAGTAAGGATTTCGTGCCGTCATAGCAGTAATGCTCCGTACCGCAAATCATCCTAATTGCGTATTTGCCACATTTCGATGTCATTTATGGTGTAAATTATATATTCGGGGGCCAGGATACCCCGATCCTCTTTCGGATTATGTAATGGTTACGTAATAACGCTCGGCCAACCAATTTCAAAATTAAAATTCGATTTTGACATTCGAATATCGAATATCAAATTGAATATCATGTCCTTTTTTTCTTTTATATATAATTTATATCACATAAATACATAATAAATAAATATATATATTTTTTTTATCCCCTTTCTTGCGGTCTTAATTTAGATATAAAAAAAAATGAAAATTAATTTCGATTTGTACCAGGAACACCAATTTGTCAAATCTAAAGATTTACATAAAGTCTTATACATGATTTTAACATTTTGTGTTATGACCCGCTTTTATTGTTTGTTTTAATATTAAATTTTACCGATAACAATTTATGGATGATGTTTTGCCCGCTCCGGGATCGACATGTGATATAAGCATGTCCGCTATGCATATCTCCGAAACATCATCTTGTTGAACTACTTCGCGAGACGAAATTTAAATCTCCGTAAGGGAATAAATACCTTTCTTAAAAGAAAATGCCCCCCCAAATTTTCCCTTTGAAAAGATATAGATTTTGGGGTTTTTTCTCCCGACTCAATCCTATTTGACAATGAGCTTTATATATGTACGAATACTTTGATAATTCTAATACATGATAAATCTTTGATTCATGGGGCGCCCAATTTGAATACATCAATCGGGGTGGACCAATCAGGTGGAATTCAGCAACCGACTGGTCAAACAACAAAATCAAATTTCGGACAAAAGTTTGAGGTTTAAAGGATAATAGAAAGTTTTTTTTTTTTTTTGGTACGTAGATTTTTCTATTATGATGAAATTGATTATTTTCAAAAAAGGTTCGGTCGGTATCGTCATTTGCATTGGTTAAACCCTGTAACAATAAATTTACCTACATCATCTCATCAATTTTACGGTGTCTAATAAAATTTTGGAAATAATGCAATTCAAATGAATTTGATTTTATTTTTAAAAAGATTGGAGATTGGTAATGCAAAAAATAAACATTCGTATATTGGGGATGCGTTCAATCCTGATTGCTCTACAATCGTCACACAATTGAAGTGCATTCTCCTTTATTTCCGATAATAGGAATTTCATATGGATATATGAGGTGATCATCTTTACAAATATGTTTGACATCTCCACTTATATTGCATCTTTTATACAGCGAATATTCAATATTGAATGCTCCCGATAACCAATAATCGCAATTTAATGACGCACTGTCACCGAAAAAGATCTCCGATTTCACGTCACAAGGTGCATGAAATCAAATAGTTTAGAGGACCATGTGTTGAACATCTCGCGTCCACGAGTAAATATAAATATGATGAGGTTATCTTTTTAATTTGAAGAAACAACAAAAAAAAAAATCTATTGTCTTCTTAAGAATGTCATCTGGTAAAAGCGCTTTGGTTTTGAGTACAACAGGTATGCCAAAAAAAAAAAGCACGAGAGAAATGTTTTCAAAGTTTGTTAAATCTTTATAATGTATTAAAAATTTTTAGGTGCGGTTGGTAAATCTCTTTTGAGAGACTTGTTAAAAAGTGGGACTTTCAGAACCGTGACTACGATTGAGAGCAAAATGTTTGAGTATAATGGGCCTAACAAAGAAGCTCTTGTATGTAAAAAAAAAAAAAAAAAAAAATTATTCTTTAGAAAAAAAAAAAAAATTTTTTTTAATAGATAAATTGTTTAAAATTTAGATTCAAAAGGTCGTAAATTTCGAGAAATTACAAGATTATGAAGAAGCATTTAATGGTTCATATGAGTAAGTTACACAAGCAATATAGAGATTAAGCTATAAATATATATTCGTTAACGTTCCGTACTTTGACTCCCCCTTACAGTACCATATTTTGTACGTTAGAATCAGAATCCACGGAAAATTACGCAAAAGAACATATAATAAACGCAGCCAAATTAATCAAACAACGAAATCCTAAGGAATTACACTTTCTTTATAGTTCCTCGGCCGGAGCAAATGTAAATTCATCATTTTTATATATGAAAACGAAAGGTGAAATTGAAAAGGAATTATGCGACATTGGTTTTAACCAAATTAGCATATTTCGTCCAATCCTTTTTAAAACTGATAAAATCAGAGATAAAGCTGGACTCGTTGAATACCTTTTCTTTAATTTGACCCATTTAATTGATTATGTCTTTCCAAAGTGGGCCAGTGTACACATTGATATTATCAGTAGAGGTACGTTGTAGGAGATTTTTCGTTTATTTCCTCTTATTTTTTTTTTTTTTAAAGTTGGCTTATTTTCGTTATTTTCTTGAAAATAATCCGTTTTATTTAGCAATGAGAAGGGTTGCTATTGAAGACTATGAAATTGATGTTGATACTACTATCTTGGATCATGGAACTCTTCTAAAAGAAATTAATCACTTGCAAATTCATGAAATTGGAGATGCCGAATAATAAATTTGTATTAAATGGGTTTTCTTTAAAATATTTTAATAAAATAACTTTTGTATTAAGAATAAAAATTTTCTCTTGCTAATAAACCGTATAGCAATTTTTTTGCATATATTACAATTGGTTTGACGATGAAATGTTATTGTCATCAAATATTACGAATTTGTAATTCACCATAAAACAAATGATATGAAATTCACACGTTTTTTATTTAAAAAAAGGTAGATTTGGGAAATTTTATTATTTTTGTGACATCATGACTAATCAAGTGAGAAATAATATGGTACGATATGTTCATCATTGATAAATTAATTAAAAAAACGCCCAATTTTTTCGTCATGAATTTCTTTCCTAATAGGTCAAAGTAAATAATCATTCCACTAAATTGTGATGATAAGAAAAAAAACGCCAGATATTGTGTGAGAAATTTTTTAGGAATTCTGTAATCACAAGACTATGTATTAGAAGATAACGCCAATTTCTTACAGGTCTCTCTTAAGTATAAAAAGGGTGTCGAATATTTTCATTCAACTTTTTATAAATCAATTATTTTAAAAATGTCGACACATCAACGTTCTAAATCCGAACTTATTTCTAACGATCCATTTTATGCTATTGAACAAAACGCTCCTGAAATTTTTGAATCTGGTAGGTTTTTAAATATATATGCTGTATATATTTTTAATAATACGAAATAATTTCTTATCTTTGGTATAAAATTTTATGTTTTTCATTTCATTTTAGCTCCAAAACCGAGACGTCGTATGAGTGAGCTTATTCCAAATGATCCTCTGAGAGAAATCGAGATTCATGCTCCAGAGATTTTCGAGCCTAGACTTCGAAAACGACGTATGAGCGAATTAATTCCTAATGATCCTATGAGAAATATTGAAATTTACGCTCCAGAAATTTTTGGCGTATTACAAATGAAGAATGGTGCAAGAGGTGAATTAATTCCAAACGATCCACTTAGGAGCATTGAATTGCACGCTCCGGAAATATTTCATTAAGCATATGGAAAAGATGAGATTTTTTTTTTGGTTTAAATTTGTAAATTTTTTATTTTTGTAAATACAATATTTTCTCCTATTATCTTATTAGGCATTGCTTCTTTTGTAAAAGTGTATAAACTTTGTTTTTTTTTTTTTTTTCATTTTTAGCTAGTTTTAATTTAACTTTCTTTCACTTCTTTTTAATAAAAATTTTATAAATTTAATATTCTTTTGCTGCGCAAAAAAAAAGCTTTCGTTAAAATTGGAACACCGGTTCATTAATTAACGTTACACAACTCCACAAAAAATTAATTTGTGTAACTTGGATTTGTTTTTCAACGATCATATAAGTTTATTTTTCTTAAAAAATGTTATTACTGCAAATTTAAATTTTCTTGTGCCATCATTTGTAAAAAGACTATTTTTTTCATTTTTGCTTTTACAACTTTGGATTACGCGATGATTCCGTTGCCACTAAAGTTTTTATTAATCCATCTTCATCAGAAGACATTTCTTCTTGGCATCTTTTCCTTGAAATAGAAATTCCTATCTTAAAATGGATTTGTTGCAATTTTCAACTTTGAAAAGAAACGCACCAAAGTTTTTCCACTCGCTCATGATTGGTCAAAAGACTTGTTCCATGTTGCGATTATCCACGATAATCACGAGGTCACCGTATTCAGTGAATAATGTCTTTGGTCCATATATTGTTAAGTTAACCCTGGGTTTTTGGACTTTGGTCAACGCCATACATGATTTTTACACATTTATGTCATGACACCAATTTTTAATTTTTAAATCTGTCCGTATATATTGCACAAGGATTCTCGGTATCCAAGTTGCAAGTTGCTGAAGCTTAACATTCTCATTAAAGATACAGAGCAACAATTCTTCCGATGAGACACATGACTCAATATATTTTTCCAAGAAATATTTTAAGATAGGTAAAATCAGTGTGTACTTATCAAGTAGTAATTTTATTGCTGCTTTGGCTTAATGAAATTATCTCGAATTCAAATAACTTTGAATCTAATTGAATTTTTAATTCAGGTCTAAAAATTAAACGGAATGGGAGATTGATTATTTTGATTTACCAAAACTTGCAAAATAATTTTCAATGCTTGAATGCTTAACGTGAGTTCCCTTAAACTTTATTATTATCCAACATAGCCATCATAAAGTACTCTTGTTCCAATGCCTGCAATCTTTCACGTTCGAAATCCTTAGAATTCTTGAAAAGATTACTCCCTTCGATAATTTCGAGCATTTAAATTTGATTTTGTCATAATAATCTTCAAACTGAGCTTTCATTTTCTCCCATGCTTTATCACTATAACGTAAATGAATAGGAGCGTGACAACTTTGTATATATGGGTACGTGACTAACCGATCTCCCATGTACAGTGGGCCATGTACCATAATTAAGTGACACTGAATGAAAACCAGGTTTTGCCAAACCGAGGTCTCTTTGATCCAAGTCTCGTTGTCAAAATGGTTAAAATTTCTATCTTTGTCATCGTTAGGACATGGTATCATTAATAATCCCCGAATCGGTTCCCGTCGAAATAATATAACATATTCATATTACGAACCAGAAACTTTCTACCATGGCTTGAAGTCACAAAAGTTTGTAAAAATACTTACTACAATGTTTATCGTAGCAATTTTTACCGAATTTACATGGATGAAACGCCATTTCTTTTTTAAGTTTGTCGTGCACTACTACATAAGATCCTCAAAAGGTACTTGTAATCTAGTGTCCGTGAAGAACTTTTGAAGCATTAGCAAGTTCTTCCGGTACAAGTTTTGTTGTAGAAATGAAGTATGGCGCTTCTAAAGTTTTTGGACTTTCTAGTTTTAAAGACATTTTAAATTGATATTTTCAAATTTAAATACTAAGAAATAGCAAATTTTTTTATGTTGTATTTTATTTCTTAAAAGAAGAAAAAGTCCAAGTTCTCTCATCGCCATAAAAAATGTCACTACCACGTGATTATATATAGTAAATATTTATCTTCCCAAGCAACACCATCAAAAAAAGCTTGTACACGTGATTTGGTTCATGGCACAGTTGTGCAACTCCGAGCTTATTTAAACTTTATATATGATATGATTCGAACTAATGTATTTTGTGTCGCGTCTTTTTTTCGTGTTTATTATTAACCAAAGAATAATAATACATTAATAAAAATAAAATATTTTATTTAAATAAATATAATTATGGAATCCTCATTAGATAATTATTGCAAAGGTTGTAAATCTTTAAAGCCATCATCCGAGTTTATAACCTATGGACCTAAAGGTATTAAGCAACTTAAAACTTGAATAATTGTCATCAAAGATTAGAGAAAAAACGAAAATTTCTTACAGAAATAAAAACAATATTAACCTACTAATATCTTGGAAGTTGTTGATATTGATTTTTTAATGAGATAATTATGAATCTTTTAGATAATATAATTTACATTGCCAGATAAATATTAATTCAACCAACGAAATTTCAACTTAGGAACCTGCAAATAAGATCATTGAATTGATTGAAGATGCTGATGGATACTAATGGAATTACAATCATCAATATGAAGGCAAAAACAATATTATTTCTGCTCCTAAAGAGATATTTTAGTATTTAAGTCACGCAAACATCCTGATCTATTTAAACAATAAAATACTCTATCTATCAAAAGATTTGCTTATAATAGTTTTATAAAGATATCTATGATAAAATTATATAAAATTCTGAAGTAAAATTTTTCTATAAGAATATGCATACAAGACCAGTTAATAAATCTGTATCAAAAAGCATTAAAATTTTATAAAGGACAACATAGATTTTCTTCTAAGAGAAATATATAAGTATTTTGTAAATAATAATCTTAATTAAAGATGGTTATCGCAATTAAAAAAAATGACGCAATTGAGTTGCAATTTATAATACAATTAAATTTTCTTATAGCACAATTAAGTTACAACTCAATTGAAATTTGAAAATAATTATAGAAACCATCTTTAATCTTAATATATTAATAAAATAAAAACATATTACTTTTAATGGTCAAAGTTAAGACAAGTATAATATAAACATTGTGAAATACTATTAAAAAAATAATTATAATATAATTTTACAAGAAATAAAACCAGTTTGTGTATTAGTATTTGAAATTAGTATTCTTAAACAAATGAAAAATTTAGGAATTCATATTAATAAATATGAAATAGATGCTACTTATAATACCAATAATATAGGATTTGAATTATATGTT